GGGTGTACGTGGACTGTTACGTGCCCAGAGTTCCCATTTGTTGGAGGTGATTTCAGACCAATTCATACATGAATCACCTTGACCAGATGAAGCCAACTGCAGTTACTGATACCCAGACAGATGTGATGCACTATCAGATAGAGGAGAAACCTGTTGGAAAGGTTATGTGTCGTTTAGCAATGGTGCCACGTGGAAAACTCCAGGGCAGTTGAGTGGGAATTGAATGAATTAGTTCCTGCTGCCATATAGCGACATGGGCATGGCCCTTGTGTTGCTTGGATGAGTTAGAAATGTGCACTGCTTGCCTGGTACAACACAAAAGTATTTATTCACTTCTGGAGCAGGATAGAATTAAAATTACATCAGACTAATTGGCAACATCCGCTAATTTAACTGCAGTTGTCTGCAGCAAGAGGATGAGTTTTTCCCCCTTTACATATTATTGTACAATAAACGTGCCATTTTCCTTGATGTTTCTAGTCCTTACTGCACAACATCCTGCTAGTATTCAGCTATTTCCTCTGTCTTTTTACATGGACACTGGCAAGCCTTCAGTCTGACATCTTAACCTACAAAAATGAGTTTTCAAGTCAGCATCTTGGGAGTCTCAATTTGTTGTAAAAGTTTGATCTTGTTTTTGAAGCTGGGGAATGCCACTTTGACTGGTCAGAAACCAGACACACCTCTGGATAAAATCTCAGTCCAGCAGGTTCCAGATGAAGTTTGAAAGCCTGACTCCTACAACCTGAATTTTTGCTTTTACCTTGTTGTAAATCCCAAACACAAATGTTGCTCACATTCAGTGATACTAATTCAAATTTCCCAAACTCTTTGGACCAGGGGATAGAGGAATAGAGCATCTCTTACTCTCAGTTGATATTTTAGGGAGAAAGAATCAACAGAGGCAGTTGGAATTGATCAGCTGTTTACATTTAAGATGCTAGAGGAGACATATTTCAATTCTCCTTTTCATCTGTAAATGTCTGGTGTCTACAAAATGGTTAGGAAAAAAATGCAAAAATTGTTTATTCCATGGAAAGGCATTAGAAAAAGTGGTATAAAAAGTGAGCTGGAGTGTGCAGTAGGCAGGTAACCTGAAGAGTCTCTGTTTTTCTTTTTCCTTTCTTTGAATGTGTTGGCATTTTTTATTTTGAAGTATGCAGCATCTTATAGGGAAACATTTCAGGAATAGTTAAAGTGCGGAATATTGCACAGAATATTGTGTAGAATTTTCCTTGCTCTTATCGGCTGCTCTCCCTCCCAGTCAGGGATGAAATAGTAGCAGAGTGGCCTAGTAAATGTGCATCCATGCACAATGCTCTTCCCTCAGGATGGAGATAAGGATCTTGCCAGGATCATGTCCATCCTTCAAGAGCGCACAATTTTCTTCTGAAAAGAAGGGAGGAAGGATATTGTGAAAATCAAGAGCTACCATGAAAACAGAAAGGAAAAGCTGCAGGAGAATATACTAAAAAAAGGGGTAACAATTATTCCTTTTAATGGAATTCAGAGGTAGTTTGAATTCTTAATTAGAAAATTATCCTGTGCCTGCTGCAATTCTGGCTTCAGGCTCTGCATTTTGAAAACTGCTTTTGCAGCAGTTGGGGAAAGTGTCAGCAGGAAAAGCTGACCTTTCCTGTCACTACTGCCTGCATCCTCTCAGCATTTTGTATGCGAGGGGTGATTAATGAATAGGGATGGTGGAGGATGTTGATTTAGCTCAGTTCCTCACAGTGAGGGTGCTTTGTTTTACTTCCTATGACCATCCGAGACAGGAGCACATACAGGTGCATTTTGTGAACCTTGGTTTAAATTTTGCTGTCTGGAGTTTGTATGCACAGAGCTGTGTGACCATGGGTCAGGACCTCAGGCTCCTGAGTGTTAAATACTCTTGTCTTTGTAGGCCTCTGGACAGGGCTGTTAGCTAGAGCACCATGAAAGCCTTTCCCAGCCACCACACTCTGTGGGCTACACTTTGTTGTATAAGTCAGGGGATGCTGACATCTCAACATGCTTTAGTTGCTTAAATAATATTGAGCAGTGCATCCTCCAAATATTCTTCAGAGTGTAAGAAAATACAAGGCTGTGAAAGTGTCTCTTCTTGTTTTGTTGCTGCTCCTCTATTGCCAGACCTGTGAGGTTGTTGTAGTGAATTCTCAAGGCAAGAGAATTACAACAGGATAAAGGAATAACTTTAGAGTCTGTGTGTGTTTTTGCAGCTGTGCTTCAGGATCTGGATTTACATTTTGCTCTTTCCACTGCTGACTTTTTTGCATTCCTCATGTAAAGCTCCTCCAGACAAATGATGAGAGACCATTTACTAAAAATTCCTGAATTCAAGAGTCAGAGCAATGGAAACCTCTGTTCCTTGCCAGTGGGAAGAGATGTGAGGTGAGGCATGAAGAAAGAGCATTGATTGGGGATCTGTTTTGCAGTCAGTCATTGGTATAAGAGAGCAACTTGGTTTGAGTGAAGGAAGGATGACCAATGCATTACTTTTCAGCCTTGTTATCTGCCTGTCTTGCTTTGGGTTGCAGAACACTTTGTGAGCTTTTCTACTTGTAGTGCACTATTTGGTGAACAGAGGAGTACTAGGGGTGTGCTGTGTGCTAATCCTTTTTTGTCATCATTGTTATTCTGAAATGAACCATTAGGCTTGTCAAAACTAATTAAGGGAACAAGTAGATGGCACTGGAAAGGAACTTCAAGCTAGAATGACATGTTTCAGGAGATCCCTCTCATTCCCTGGTGCACACTTGAAAGGCATTATGAGTAGATCCACAGAGCTTGTGCATGCAAATGCACAATGGTAATGAGTATTCTGGATTTTGTTAGGATATATTTAGGTTCTTCTGATCGCAGTCCATTTTAAAATGAATAGTACTATGGCAGATTGTCTCTTATTACCTGGGCTGAACAGTTTTGCCCCATTGCTGCAGGGGGAGATACAGTGCCCTCTCCATCTGGAGGGGAGGGACCCAGAGGACATCAGGGCCCAGGTGAAGCCATCTGACATTGTCAGATGTGTGTCAGGACACAGCAAATGGCTCTCAGTAAGAGCCTGGTGTCTGGCTTTTGGAAGGATGGATGCCAGAAGAGTGCGTTTAAAGCTGAATTTAAGTAGGAAACCTGTTGGTAAGGGCTGCAGGGCAAGCCCTAAAGTGTTCCCAGCCTTTTCCTCCAAGTTCTGGAATTACCACTCCAGTTCATTAAGTTGTGATGAATAGATATGATGGTAAGCATGTACATCTTTCTCTATTGGCATGTCATAGATGAGGGTCATGGTTACTGAATGACTGAAATTACAGCAGTTAGGGCTACTCATTTGAAAAAGGCAGAAAACTTCTGCTATGGACTAGAAAGATTGCTTTCTATATTCATTGGGGACTAATACTGCAGCACACTGTAATGTTTTCCACTGATATTTAAAGGAATTTCTGTGTATCCTACTGTCACTTTTAACCGTGTCCATATATTGGGGAGCTTTGATCCCAATAATTGTGTGATCACAAGAAGTCAGACTCATTCTGGCATCCTTACCAATAACAGACTGTCCTTCTTCCTGGTGGGATCACCCTGAAACTGATGGCAGCGATTAAGGAGCAGACTGTTTCTCACTGTGAGTGGGGTGATGAAAGCCCTGCCTGTGCTGCTTTGTTTTGTTGTGTTGGTATCTTTTGGCCACAATTCAGAGTGTTGTGAATGGACTTGCTATCGATGTGGTGCTCTCGTTAACAAGCAGTGCCAGGTTCAGTTACCTGCACAGTGGGTCATAATGTAGTATTTTGACATTTGCAGCATTGGCTGATCTTAGCTGAACTTCAGATCATTTATATGCTTGTCATTGCTTCAGTTGCTGTGTTTTTTGTGGGATTCACAGAAATGTATCAGAGCATCTGTATTTTTAAAATTATTATTATTATTTTACTGTTTTTGCTGTTGATGCCTCAAGGATGAAAATGGCAAAAGAATGTGATAAAAATGTTTTCAGAACATTAGGGAGTTCTGAATGTTGGCTGGCTCAGAGGGAATCTATTATTTACAATCTACTGTATCAAATTCAACTCCCACTGAATTAGAAACTGATTTTTGTCATTGTCCCTTTTTAATCTAACCCTTTGGTTAACTTGGGAGAAGCAGCATCATAAATCACGTGGACATCTATGGATTTTTTTTCCCTTGCCAGCCATTGCTAGGACTAAATGTTCATCTCCCAGAGATTCTATCAGCCAGGACACTAATAATAACATTTCTGTTCTGGGCTTGACTTTTCCTCTTCCAGGAGGAAAAGTATCTTTTTAATGTGCTTTGAAAAATATTTTTAGGGAGTAAATAACAATGCATGGGAAGATTTGACTTGGGGTGGTTGAGTTCCGGCTAGTGAGATTAAAGAAACTCCTTGTGCCTCTTTTCATAATTGTCAAGGACCATGGATAGCATGGGATCATGGTGTGAATAATGAATACTTTCTCACCTTTTAAAAATCAGAAATTCACCATATGTGCAACACTGTTTTTCTTCTAAAGTTGGGGGAAAGGAGGTAAAGAATAGCAAGATTGCCCAGCAAACCAGGAGAAAATCAGGAAATTTAGTCTTTCATGTCTCTAATCAGCCAAATAAAACCTTCTTTTAATTTGCTTTCTGAAGGCATGAAGCTGCTGTGCCTTTGTTTTTCACTTCAGCGTTAAAACAGAACTCTGATTTTACTGGGTCTTGGTCGCAGCTCTCTTTGCCATCACTGGAACTGTCATAGTAGCCTTGATCAAAGACAAAGGACAGTCAGGATCACTCTCTCGTGCCTGGGAAGGTTGGTGTAGGGGCCCTGAGTGTGGAAATACAAAGGAGATGAGTTGTTAAAAGGTGGAGACCTACATACCAGGTGTCCCAAGGTAGGTTTAAACTGGATTTACGTTCCTTCACCATCTCTGTCTAATTGCAGCCTTTCAGCTGACTGACTGTCTTCTCTCTCTCTCTCTGTGTCTCTCTCTCTCCTCTCCCAGGTCAGTGACTGGTTTGGATAAAGAACCTGACCTTGTGCACATGGAAGCCCGGACAGCTGATGGACGTGAGTGCCTGCAGCCAGTGCTACATTCTTGTGCTTTGAGCCAAGAATGGAGTGGGAATGAGAATCCACTTTACTCATTTTACCTCCACATTTACTTTTAATTGGAGATGTGGGTCATGGGGTTTGATGTGATGTTCTTATCCTGAGCCTGTAGGGGAAAGTCATGGGCTGCAGGGCTTGTGTCGGTGGAGGGGGTGGACAGAAGCACAGTCTGTGGGCTAAGAACACATCTATTCTGTTCCCTGTTTAGCTGTTTCAGTATCACGTAATTTACATCCATCATGAAGAGCTGGGCTACCAGCACTGTACCATGGAACCTCTGTGCATTTCCAGAGGTGCTCAGAACGGCTAGGTGGTGGTACTTGAGAATTTGAGAAATTACCTGCAGTCAGACTTGCCCTCTAGCCAGAATGTCCCTATGCCCCTTTGTCTTGTATTGAAAGTATTTTTTAGTTTTGCTCATAATGTATAAATAGGTGTTCCATACCAACATATTACAGGCTTGAAAAGGTGCCTAGATCTGAAGCAGGAGATAGGGAAAAAAAAAAAAAATTCTTAACTCCTCACTGAAATGAATCTAGTCACATTTGCAGTGGAATGGATTCCTATGTAGTCAATCTCCACATGGTATTAGAAGTAAGTTGACTTACTCTCTCTGAAGTGTTGTAGGTATTTCTCACAGGAACTGCAGCATAGTAACACATCTGCTCCTTGTGTGGAACTTTACTCCAGTGTGAGGAAAAGGGAGTAATGGAACAAGTGTCCCATTTCAGTGTAGGGACAGTATAGGAACACAACATAGGATTGAGAAGTTAGGAGATTTCTGGGAGAAAAAAAAGCCTAATTTTTTGTTAGTTGCAAACTTTTTTCTGTTTTAGTCAAGCGCTGTGTAGGCCAGATGTGTGAACAAGCTCCTGTCTGTCAAGATGGCTTTCTCTGAGGTTGTGGATGTTCTAATATCACTCTCTGGCCTCCCACTGCTATTTAGTGATGGCAGCTGAATAAATAACCAGGCAATAACAGCTCAGGGGTGACAGCTGTTTGTTGAATATGTGGAAAAAGCAAAACAGGCCGACAGGTGGGTGGACAAGGTAGGGAGGCATCTTCAGTGCCTTTGCTGCTGTGTGTACCGTTGCAGGTATGATGGGAGAAGTGGTCAAAAGCAAATAAAAAATACCCAAGCAAGCAAGCAAGCAAAGTGCTGATGGAATCTGTTTTCAAACTAAGTTTAAACTTGCTCACCCAGCTATTTGAATATTGGATATGTCAAGGATGTAAATGTTTGAAAGATGTATCCCCAGCTTAAAGACAGCTCTATTCCTTCAGGTCTTGTTTGCTCAGGGGTTTGCTCTTTGTTCTTGTTTTAATATAGAAATTCAGCATTTTGAAATTGGCAGCTGGTGGTGTTGAGGGTTTCACTGGAAGCCAGGCTTGGGCAGTAGTGTCAGCAAATCAGCCCCTCTGCAGCTGCCATCCCAGATCTGCTGGGCTGTGCTGGCCCTGCTGGACTGTAAAAGGACTCCTCTCCCAGCCCAGCACAAAAGAACAGTGCTGCTCCAATTACAGGTTCTAAGCCCTAAAACAATATTAGTTTGTGTAACAAAGCAACACAGCCTCACAGCTGTAGACTTCCCCAGTGTGATATTGTTCAGCTCTGGGTGCTCAGCAGTGGGGCACTGAACTTTTCTCACAGTTAGCTCTGCAACCAAATTGGGCCTTCATGTGCTCAGTGAAATAGCTGAGGCACTTACACCTGCTGGAAAATGGAGCCCTGCAGTTACTTCCTCTTGATCAGAAAGCTTCTGATGAAAGTTTTCCTCAGTATTATGCAGAAGGAAGCAAAGGCTTCTCTTATGCCTTTTAGGTCAGTCTGGTGTCTCAGTCACTTATCTGATGTATTAACAGATATAGATTTAAGTATTGCCATTGCTTAGTTTAATTCAGATAGATACATCTGTGCCTTCAATGTCACTGGCTACTTGAAAAATATTATTCTTCTAGGTTGGGCATTTTTATGTCCTCTTCTGTTTGCCTCTATATTTTAAGTTAAAACAAAAAATAGGTAGAGAGTAAAAGCACTGGAGAAGGGAGGGGAAGGAATGGAAGTGCTATTTAGGACTAGACTCCTAAATTTGATTATTTAAAATTTTTTAAAATTGTATTTTATTTTTCTTTCTTCTGACATTAATGGGACTCAAGAACCTATCTAATACCAATTCAGACTGGAGCCTAAAAGGTGCCCTGGAGCTGGGAACAGGTGTTGGGGCATGCTGGAATCTCATTCATCCATAAATGAGTCAGGGCTATCAATAAGCTTATGGATCTGGGAGCTGGCAGTCCTGTTCACCTCTCTGGTGACTGTCCTTCAAGATATTTTGCCACATGGTTTTGTCTGTCCAGTCATGAGAAATGGTTGTGTCACTGAAAAACCCATCTGCCCTTGTGTCTAGTCTCCTTAAATACTGCAAGATGCTGATAATTCCAGTGCCTATCTTATCTCGAGCTGTTCCCATCTTTTGTAGCAGATGAAGTTTTTCATATTTTTTCGACATCTTGGCAGAATCATTGTAGCAGAATAATAATTGAGACTTGCATTTTTAAATTGTAAAAACATGTAGGAGCCTTGGGCATTGTTCCTCCTGCCAGAGTGCAATAGGCAACAGCCAGGACAGGGCTGGATGCAAGGGAGCTGTTGTGATCACGCTGACACAAGCACCCACCAGCATTCCTGGGAAGGATATATTGAACTTTCTGATGTTCAGTGTGTTAATCTTCACCCCACTCAGAGATACACTGCAATAAACAGGATTTGAATTATAGGGAGTAGAGGGTGAGAAAAGCTAACCAAAAGGATAAAACAGGGTAACTAATTCCTGGAGAGTCTACACATCTCTTTCTTTGGGGGAAAAATTATTGAGGCCAGTGAGTTTTTTTCTCCCTCTCATGGACACCTCCACAATGTTATGATTTTAAATCTTGCCTGAACATCAGGGCCTGATTTAAGCTGAGCCAATCTGCCAATGCAACTTGTCTCTATCAGCTGCCCTTTTCCCCATTAGCCATGCTGGCCAGCCATCCCAGAAGGGAGGCAGGACTTGCTTTCCTGTGTCTAAGTCCCAGTCACCTGCACACAAGTTGCCCTTTGCAGCCTTCAGCACAGTGACACAGCAGCTTTGACTGTTTCACTGCCTCCCTTCAGGGACTCACATCTTGTGCTCCTGCTTCCTGCCAAAGCTGGCATGGCTGGCAGGAAAAGATGAGACGTGGTAGCTTGGCTTATTTCACCAGTTTGTCCCTTCCAATTTCAAGAAATTGTTTCCGTTTTGTCACTTCAAAAAGGACAAAAATACACCCCGGAATCTCAAGATGGAAGACTGTGTTAAATAGCAATGAGGAGGCGGCTCAGGCTCCTCAGCTGGAAAATGGCTGTACATCTGTGAAAGCCATTCCCT